ACCCATCCCACCCCATGCCACCCATGCCGCTGCATCCCGCCGCATGCCGCTGCATCCCCCGCATGCCGCCGCATGCGGCCGCGTCCCGCTGCGCAGGTGGAGGTGCTGGACGGCCCCGACGAGAACGGCGAGATGTTCATGCGGCCCGGCAAGATCTCGGACGCCTTCCCCAAGCCCTACCCCAACGCGGAGGCGGCGCGCGCCGCCAACAACGGCGCGCTGCCGCCCGACCTCAGCTACATCGTCAACGCGCGGTGAGCGCGCTGCGGCAGCGCGGCGCATGGGGCGGGTGGTGCAGTGCACTGCGGTGCAGTGTGGTGTGATGCAGCATGGTGCAGCACGGTGCATGGGGCAGGTGCTGCAGTGCACCGTGGTGCAGCATGGTGCATGGGGCGGGTGGTGCAATGCAGTGCGGTGCAGCACGGTGCAGCACGGTGCATGGGGTGGGTGGTGCAGTGCACCATGGTGCAGCATGATGCAGTGTGGTACGGTGCAGCACGGTGCAGCACGGTGCATGGGGCGGGTGGTGCACTGCACCGTGTTGCAGCATGGTGCAGTGTAGAGCGGTGCAGCGCGGTGCACGGGGTGGGTGCTGCAGTGCACCATGGTGCAGTGTGTTGCGGTGCAGCGCAGCGCAGCACGGTGCATGAAGCAGGTGGTGCACTGCACCTTGTTGCGGCATGGTGCAGTGTGGTGCGGTGCAATATGGTGCATGGGGCGGGTGGTGCAGTGCAGCGTGGTGCAGCGCAGTGCACGGGGTGAGTGCTGTAGTGCACCATGGTGCAGCAGGGTGCAGTGTGGTGCGGTGCAGTGCAGTGCACGGGGTGGGTGCTGTAGTGCAGCAGGGTGCAGCAGGGTGCATGGGGTGGGTGGTGCAGAGCACCGTAGTGCAGCATGGTGCAGTGTGGTGCAGTGCAGCACAGTGCATGCGGTGGGTGGTGCAGTGCAGGGTGGTGCTGCATGGTGCAGTGTAGTGCAGTGCACCACGGTGCAGCGCAGCGCAGCGCAGCGCGGTGCAGCGCCAACAACAGCGCGCTGCCGCCCGACCTCAGCTACATCGTCAATGCACGGTGCATGCCGTGCGCTGCAGCACGGTGCAGGTGCTGGATGCTCCATGCAGCGGGTGGGGCGGTGCAGGCGGCAGGCAGCGCAGTGCAGCACAGTGCAGACAGCGGCTGGTGCAGTGCAGTGTGGTGCAGGCGGCAGGCAGCGCGGTGCAGCGCGGCACAGCGCGGTGCAGGCGGCGGGTGGTGCAGTGCAGCAGTGCCCGCAGTGCTGCCCCAAGGGGTGGGCGCTGCATCAGGGCGGGCAGCAGCAGTGCATGGTGGTGGATGACACGCTCCCCATGCGCTCGGTGCATTGCAGTGCTGATAGTGCACTCTCTGCACGACGTTGCATTGCAGCACAGTGCATTGCAGCGGGTGGTGCAGCGCGGTGTATTGCAGCAGGCAGTGCAGTGTAGTGCAGTGCAGTGGGTGGTGCGTTGCAGCAAGTGGTGCAGTGCAGTGCACTGCAGTGCAGCAGACAGTACATGGCCGCAAGTGGTGCATTGCAGCGGACAGTGCATTGCAGTGGGTGGTGCGTTGCTGGAGGTGGTGCAGTGCAGCGCAGTGCATTGCAGCGGGCGGTGCTTTGCAGCAGGCAGTGCAGCATGGTGCATTGAGGCAGGTGGTGCGGCATGGTGCATTGCAGCAGCCAGTGCATTGCAGCAGGGTGCATTGCAGCGGGGCGTGCATTGCAGCGGGCGGTGCATTGCAACGGGCAGTGCATTGCAGCAGACAGTACAGCACAGTGGATTGCAGCAGACAGTGCATTGCATCAGGGAGTGCAGCGCATTGCATCAGATAACACCGTAGTGCATTGTAGCAGGCAGTGCCTTGTAGCAGACAGTGCAGCGCAGTGCATTGCATTGCAGCAGGCAGTGCATTGCAGCAGGCGGTGCAGCACAGCGTGGTGCATTACAGCAGGCTGTGCAGCATGGTGCGTTGCAGCAGACAGCTCATTGCAGCAGGCGGTGCAGCGTAGTGCATTGCAGCAGACAGTATATTGCAATGGAGAGTGCATTACAGCTGATAGTGCATTGCAGTGAGCGGTGCAGTGTGGCGCATTGCAGCGGGCATTGTACTGCACCAGGTGGTGCCTTGCAGAGAGTGGTGCAGCACAATGCATTGCAGTGGGTGCAGCAGGCAGTGCATTGCAGCGGGCAGTGCAGTACGGTGCAGTGCACTGCAGCATGCTGCACTGCAGCGCGTGGTGCATTGCTGCGGTGCTCCCCGCAGGCACGGCCGCGAGGACTACGTGTTCTCGCAGCACAGCGCGGTGCATTGCAGCGCGGTGCATCGCAGCATGCTGCATTGCAGCAGCCGGTGCATTGCGGCGCTCCCCGCAGGCACGGCGGCGAGGACTACGTGTTCTCGCAGCACAGCGCGGTGCATTGCAGCAGGCGGTGCAGCGCGGTGCATTGCTGCGCGCGGTGCATTGCAGCATGCTGCATTGCAGCAGCCGGTGCATTGCGGCACGCTCCCCGCAGGCACGGCGGCGAGGACTACGTGTTCTCGCAGTGCAGCGCGGTGCATTGCAGC